TAAAAATATTGCCCTTGCAATTAGATGTCTCCTCCAAACTGGATTTACGTGACACCATTTTAAATGCTCTGCACCTCTGCAACGCAATGTTGCAGTGAAATACATTTACCTGCACTCTACTTAAGGTAAAATGATTAAAAAAACAAAAAGTATAGCAAGAGCCTGCTCTTCCTCCTTCATTCTTGCACATCAAATTCAGTTCTGATGCTATTCAAATATTCATGGGAGGCAAAGAAATCTGGAAGTGAAACCATGCTCTATTCCAAAATTCAAGCCCCACTGTATAGCTTATTTTGTCTATATTCAAATAAAAAATACACTAGAGTGTAGTTTCAGAACTACATACACACTGAAATTGCACCCTGCCTTCCTTATGGGCACATCCCATAAACAGACAGTACACATGATAGGGAGGAATCTGTCATTTCTCCACCTGCCTGAATACAGGGATGAAGAGACAGGGGCAATGGCAACAAGCACGGCAGGCAGGTCCCCTGTGTGGTTACCCTACTCTCTCAGGGGCCCTGGGATAACAGATGTGAGGCTCTGCAAGTGGAACCAAACAACAGCAAGGATGCAGGTTCACTTGGTTGGAGGTTAATTCAGACTGCTCCCTGCATCAAAATTGCTTTGATATAGAACAAAGGATGGGTCATGATCATGGGAGATTCGCTTCTGAAGGGAATAGAAGGCCTAACATGCTGATTAAACTCACTTCTTGGGTTGTCTGTTGCCTCCTTGGTGCCAGAGTTAAAGATGTGAAAAGAAAATGTTTTTACTCTGAGACAGCTTTCAGTTCATCATCCATTACTGATTTTTCAGTTAGGCAGCAATGAAGTCCCAACAAGAAGTCCATGGGAAATCAAGAGACTTCAAGGCCTTGGGATGATTGGTTAAGGGATCAGGAGAAAAAAGCAGTGCTCTCCTCTGCCCTTCCAGTTGCAGGGACTGATGAAGGAAGAGCCAGCAGATTAAGAACAGACTCTGAGCCTGGTGTCATTGACTTTTGGGGTTTTAACCATGGGTTGGTTTAGAGAACACCAAGACTAGACAGACAGATTACACCTGTCTGTCAAAAGGGGGAAAAGTATCTTTGCAGAGGAGTTATCAGGTCTTTAAACTAGATTTGAAATGCAAAACGGATGTTCTGCAGCATGCCAATGTTTAAGGGAAGATGTGCTAGTGAGGTTCTTTGGTTGGACATCTCAGTGGAGGCAGGGGATGGAGAGGCATGTGGCAGTGAAGACACAAAGGTTACTGATGTGCTAGAAATTAAAGAAGTGCCTGAGATTGATCAGTAGGAATTACAGCTTCTTCCCACAAAAAGGGGGCAGGATCAATAAGTCAATTTAAGGGCATCTACAGCAAGGCACACAGCGTGGGTAACAAAACAGGAGGAGCTGGAAGTAACTGCACTGCAGGATAGCTGTGACACCATCGCATGGTGGGATGACTCGCACAAGGGGAGGGCTGCAGTGGATGGCTGGAAATGCCGCTGAAGGCATACACAAGGAAGGATATATGATGGGATATGCCGTGTGCATTAGAGAGTGTTTTGATTGTCTAGAGCTTGACAGTGGTGATGAAAGGGTTGTGTGTTTATGGACAGAAATCAGAGAAAATGCCAACAAAGCAGATGTCAGGGTGGGAGTTTGTTACAGACCCAAGCAAGATGAAGAAGCAGATGCAATGTTCTATAAGCAAATGAGAGAAGTCTCACAATCACTGTCCCTTGTTCTTGCACATGACTTTGACTTAGCAGATAACTGCTGGAAATAGGACACTGCAGTGAGGAAACAGTCTAAGAGGTTCCTCCAGTGTGTGGAAGGTAACTTCCAGGCACAGCTGGTGAGGGACCCAGCTAGGGAAGGTGCCCCACTGGGCCTGTTTTTGTGAACAAAGAAGGACTTGTGGGTGATGTGATGGTTGAAGGTTTTACTGGGCACAGTGACCACAAAACAGTTTTCAGTTCTCAGAGAAGCAGGGAGAGGGGTCTGCAGATTGGCTACCTTGGACTTTCAGAGGGAGATTTTGGCCTTGGGAGGCAGTCCTGATAGACAAAGGAGTCCAGGAAGGCTGGACAGTCTGCAAGAAGGACATCTTAAAGGCACAGGAGCAGGTTGGAACCATGTGCTAAAAGGCAAGCCAGCATGGAACACAGACATTGTGGCTCAGCGTAAAAAATGGTTATGAAAGGAGAAAATTAGAAAGGCCAAAGCTCAGCTAGAACTTAATCTGGCTACTCAAAAGACAACAAAAATGTTTTCATAAACACATTAGCAACAAAAGGAAAGCTAAATATGATCTTCATCCTTTATAGGTTGGAGAGGGAAACGCGGTCACAAAGATTAAGAAAAAGACTAAGGTATTTAATGCCTTCTTTGTCCCAGCCTCTAATATCCAGACCTGTTTTCTGGATACCCAGTCCCCAGAGCCAGAAAACAGAGACAGGGTGCAGAACAAGGCTCCTATAATCCAAGGACTAAGTTAGTGATGTGCTACACCACTTAGACCCACACAAGTCTATGAGGTCAGATGGGATCCGCCCAAGGGTGTTGAGGGAAAAGGTGGAAGTGCTCACTGAGCCACACTTCATCACCTATCAGCAGTCCCAGTGGGATGCCCCAGTTGAGTGGAAGCTAGAAAATGTGACACTCACCCACAAGAAGAGGCACAAGGAGCATGTGGGGAACTAAAGGCCCATCAGTCTGACTTTGGTGTGAGAAAACTTATGGAGTAGACCCTCTGCAGTGCCATTATGTGGCATGTACAGGACAATCAGGCAACAGGGCCCAGCCAGCATGAGTTTATGAAAGGCAGGTCCTACTTAACTAACCCAATCTCCTATGACAAGGTGACCCACTTAGTGAATGAGGGAAAGGCTGTGGTTGTTGTCTACCTGGACTTCAGAAAAGCTGTTTTCAACACTGTTTTTCATAGCACTCTCCTGGAAAATCTAGCAGCTCATCACCAAGATGGGTGTATAGTTCCCCCTGGCTGATGGCCAGGTCCAGAGTAGGGGTGAATGGAATTAGAAGCTGATCACAAGTGGTGCTCCCTAGGGCCAGTCCTGTTTAATGTCTTTATCCATGATCTGGACAAGGGGATCAAATGCACCCTCTAAGGAAGTTTGCAGATGATACCAAGCTGGGAGGGAGTGTGGATCTGCTGGAGGTAAAAAGGCTTTATAGAAGGATCTGGACAAGCTGGAGCAATGGGCTGAAGCTAATTTTGTCGTTCAATGAGACGAAGTACCAGATCCTGCCCTTGGGTCACAATCCCATTTAGGGCTACAGGTTTGGAAAGAATTGCCAGTGGAAAAGGACCTGAAGGTGTTGGTCATCAGCCAGCTGGGTACGAGCCAGCATAGTTGCCAAGAAGGCCAATGACATCCTGGCCTGTATCAGCAATAGTGTGTTCAGCAGGACCAGGGCAGTGATTGTCCCCTTGTGCTTGGCAGTGGTGAGGTCACACCTCAAATCCTGCGTCCAGTTCAGGATCCCTCAATACAAGGACACTGAGGTGCTTGGAGCATGTCCACAGAAGGGCAGTGGAGCTGGTGATGGGCCTGAAGCATAAGTCTGATGAGGAGTGGCTGAGAGAACTGGCTTAGAGGCTCAGAGATCTTCTGGCTCTCTACAACTACATTAAAAGAGGTTGTAGCAAGGTGGGGCTTGTTTTCTTCTTCCAGGGAACAAGTGACAGGATGACGGGTAATGGCCTCAAGTTTCTAGAGGGGATGTTTAGGCTGGATACTAGGAAAACATTTATTCAGTGAAAAAATTGTCAAGCATTGTAACAGACTATTCAGGGAAGTGGCTGAGTCACCATATAAGTGTGACCCTTGGGAGCATGATTTAGGGGTGCACTTGACCATGTTATGCTAATGGTTGGACTTCATGACCTCAAAGGTCTTTTCAACTCAAGTGACTTTATGATTGTCTAAAATTTTAAACTATGTTCAACCTCCAGAGATCTAAAATGTAATTATTATGTCAATGGCTTTATTTATTTATTCTAAAAACTCAATTCCCCAGCATCCTGAACCACACAAAAGCTAGTGTAAAATTTGAGGGATAGGAGTGAAATCTGATCAACTCAGGTTTGATAAACTGGGTGTAAATTAAATACCATCCATAAAACACTCTCAAGCTGAAAGAGCACTAAGTGCTATTGATTACCATTTGTCCTGCACTATAGGTATCAAATGAACCAATCTGATGGAATCATCTGATGGCCTCATTATTTATTATGCACTTTCAACTTAAAGTACAATAGAATAGCTTAATGGCATAGTTTGAAATTACTTAGATCCAGACCCTGTGACTCACTCATATGTTAATGTACTCATAAAGTTAATGCAAATAAATGCAGAATTCCCACCAGATTTGTAGTCTCCTTAAAGGAAGCTTTTGTTTAATGGGAGCTAAACAAGAAAATTGAGAGATTTTGGGACTTCTGTGAACCTACCATGGCCTCAACTGCCACCACCAAGGCAGAGGCTGTACTCCAAAATACAAAATGTTCTTGTATTTCTCCTCAGATATCTGACATTGAATTATTCGCAACTCAAAAATATTAAGATTAATAAAAAGGTAAAATCTGTGCTTTCTCTGAAAGGAGTACCACCTTTTCAGGATACAGTGCAGTATGTGTATGGCATATACTATACTATATGTACACATACTCTACTCCAGGGAAAGCCTACCTCTCCTATGATTTGCAAACCTCATGCACTGCATTTTATTGATTCCTAAAAACTCAGGAGCAGGTACTCAGATACTAGCATCCACAGAGGGACATACACATCTCCTGTGTACAGGAAACACAACTGTTTATGTATTTTGCCACCTACTCCAACCATGAGGGTCAGACCACCTGGTCTCTGAAGGTCCCTTCCAACCCAAACCATTGTGTGACAGACCATACTCAGACAAGCACCAGCACAGCCATTTATCACCACACAACAAGAAGCACTGTGAACCCAGTTCAGTACTAGCTACCTGTTTTAGACAGTTTGCCGGTACTTCTGTTGCTTGATGAGCTATCTCCTCTTGTCAGGACGGTTATCCCACCAAAACTGGCTGTCTTTGTTATGGCTGGCTTCAAATTTCGATTTGAGCTGTCCGAGTCTGTGCTGCTCCATGGCCTCTGGTGGTCTGCCCACTTCAATTCGTTCTCTGTACTGCTCTGTCGACTACCAGATGTCTTCCCAATGCTGTCTCTGTTGCCCCTACAGATATCATGAAACAAAGATTTATACACAAGTAGAACCATGTCAAGGCAAAGTCTATCTTCAGGTACCCTGCAGCAAATCTAATAAAGAAAAAGGAGATACTCTTCCTTTACAAAAGCAGGTCTGAAATGGGATTTGACCCCCACACTTATCTGCCTTCGGCATGTAAACACAGCTACGCCATTTTACACTGCACAACACTTACCACCCTCCCCTTTTGGATATCTCCTCAGAGCACTTTACCAGATGGGGCTGACAGAGCAGTATTATGCAGCACTGATGCACCATTTCTGCTGCCCATTGAGTGTCTTCCTTCAGCAAGCCCCTCATCACTTCTCACTTTGCATCCACTGTGATGTTTTTCCCACCAGCTTCACCTGCACTCTACCTTTGTCTTCATATCCTTGTTTCTATAACAGCTTTCTCCCAGTCATTATCAGCTTTGTGAGCTCATCCAAAGCCTTGCCTGAACATGTGCCCTCTCAGTGTGACCCCAATCTCTTCACTGCTAATGCTTCACTTAGAGACCCACAAGTCAGTTTACTTTGTTTCCACTCTGCACAGAATAATAATGAAATTTCTTAGGTAGAAGCTGCCTGTCCTTGAACAGTTGCAGAGAACCCAGGGTACTGTGAGTAGTAACACAGTAAATTCTGTGATCAGAATTTGGCTTATTTATGGTAAACTACTTACACTGTACTGCTAAAATGACAGAACCAAAATGCCTACCACAGCTTAGTGCACCATGACTGTTATCCCAAGTGGTGCTCATAACACTGTATTTGTCATCTATTGCAGTATAATATCTTGCAGGCTCAAAACTCTTTCTACAGATCAAAAGGATGGGACTGTATCTATTTAATTTTTTTTGTTCCCTTTTTCCTTATGGACTTGGTTCATGATTTTAATTTGGAGAACCTGCTGATCTGTGTCACTTGGGACATGAAGGAGGCAGCATGTCAAAGATGGAATCAGGCTGTTGCATTCCTCGCCTGTAACAGAGCCTCTCAGATGTGATCAGCAGTATAAACCTGTTGACCTTTGCTAGACCCACACAGTGGGAAAGCATGAAGAGAAACAGCACAGAAGCAGCAATACAAAACAGGGACAAAGAATTTAAAAATAACTAATCCTTTAAGATTTAATATGAAAAAAAAACCCCGAAGTATAGTATTTACAGACCCTTTTGTACTCTTGTGCTTAGAAATTAACAATTATCTTCTATTTATATGCTAGAGAAAAATAGGGAAAGAAACAGAATGCTATTGTATCCCCCTTATCTGTGGCTATGGGTTACAAAAATTTCTTTTATTTCCCCTAACTCAGACATCAGCTATTAAGAGTGTGTGTGTGTAGACACCTCCTAAATCCTGCATGCCCAGTCCAAGACTCTCAGGTCATCAAGACTAACCCAAAGTAAGGAGGAAGCTTTTTTTGCCTGCTGCCTGTGGTCATGAGGTGCAGAAGCAGACACTCCAGCTCTGCTCCTTATCTGGTGTAATCTCTCCATCTCCTCTGTGGCTGCTGTGATGACATGCAGACTCAGCAACCACACATCAAATTTTCTCCTCACACATCCATTTCTCCTCACAGTGAAAAATTATGTAATATAAATGATATAGGTTTGAAGTGACATATGCAAACCCCAATGCACACAGACATCTAGTGAATATCTGCCTTGCTGTCCATGTGCCTTAATAGATGAAGGGCACACTTCTGAAAGCATCAATTCCTTCTGCCTTCTCTGCTTAAGACTTGTGGCAGCTGACTGACTCTTAAAGCAGCCTGGTTGATGTGAATTGAATGTGTGAGAGCTCATGGTGGGGGAAGACAACCTTTCTAAAACTCTCAGAAGAACACTATCATCACCAGATTCAGACTTCCACTGATTTAGTGTGTCAATTGGTAGAACTGCTCTCCATGAAAATAGGGACCGAATTTTACTGATTTCATGTTGGCCTGCCCGGGATGCTCTTTGGGATATGGGATGCATCTGGATGTGTGGAAGGAATTGGAGTTGAGAAGATGAAGTTAACACAAAAAAGTTTCAAAACACAGATACTTCAGATAAGGGAACTTCAATCAGTTCTGCTTCAATGTACTTTTACTCCAGCTTTTAATGAACCAACAAAAGGGAAAAAGGTCAGTCTGAGCACTAGTCTATGAAACGTGCCTGTCATATATACTCCAGGAAAAATGGAACCTCTTCAATCTCTCCCAGATAGTCACAGTCTGAGCAGCCAGGAAGCTCAAAATCTCATGTGGTTCCTGAGGCCGTGACCCAAAGCAAAGGGTCCTGTTACCTCTTCATTCAGAGAACATGGGAAGAGTGGGGTGGAACTCTGTTCTCCATGCTCCTTTCCAACCAGCAAACTGACATACCCACCCATGTCAAGGTGTGCCTTGTCAAGGACGCAGATAGAATCACAAGTGGGATACACTGGGAAATAAATATTAAATAAAATTCATACAAACCTAAACAGCTGTCTTTTCTTATGCATATCATTGCATATGCTACTGTCTTCCAACAGCCTACTGAAAAATGAAAAGAAAGATTATGCTAAAAAACATGGTAATTCAAATTTATCTGATCTGTAAAGTTTTATTTGATTTCTAGATACATTTTTCAATTTGTGTTAGATTCAGTTTAAAGAACCAAGGCTATAAATGCCCCCTCCTCCCTCTCCCATAGCTGTACACAGTCAACTGAACATAAGAAACATCATCCAGCAAGGCTGAGGGCCAATTTAGCATTTCCTGTTACCGAGAAAGGTAATTCTCAGAATATACAGAACCATTCCATCCAAAGGAAAATTCATAAAAATATCACCTAATAAGAACATTAAAAAATGCAAGCCAGCAAAATACTGCATATGTAATTTTAAGTACTTGCTAAGTCACTTGGAAGTCTTTACAGCTCAGAGAAAAGCTCAGATCCTCTGACAAAAAAGAAAGGCAAAGCACTTAAATGCACACCTAACTTTCAACACAGCCAATCAACAGGATTGCTCATGTGCACGGATCTAAGTACAAGGTTAAGTGCTTCACTGATCAAAGGCTGTAGGGCATGCAGCAAGAAAAAGCAGTGTTCTGCAGAATGCAGCTGAAGTCTCCCTCAGGACAGCAACAGTGCAGGCAGTACAGTTTCCAACCTGGCCTTTTAGTGGTCTCCACTTGGGTATGCATTCTCACACTGGGCTGGTCAGTCAGCTCCCGGGTTTAAGGACAGCAAACCACATGCAAATACCAGAACTGACCACATTCTCCTGCACACAGGTGTGGGATTGAATGCATAAACCAGGGGAGGCTGGGCTATAGAGTTCATGGTTTATCCCATAAAGGTACCCACCCTACCCTTGGCAGTGCAGCCTCTGAGTGTTTTCCGTGCTGACTTGGAAGTGTGAACAACTGTGTCATCTTTGTTGCCCCAATCTCCCCTGAGAGGGAAAAACAGGTTTATGGGAGCATCTGCTTTAGGTTTTATGGGTTCCTCTGTCAGAATTTTGATTTATTTTGAGAAAACATATCTCCATAGTCACAACACAGAAGCAGCAGCTGAGGAAATACCCTTGGCCCTCAGAATATGAGGTAGTTACATGACAGTGGCCATGATCTCCTGAGGGCCTTCCCTCATTCCACTTACAGAAATGTCCATTGGAAAAGCTGGTTTATACCATTACTGTGGAGTCATTTTCTATGAGAACAGCTTCACCCATAAATGCATCTGACAGATGTAAGGATGGACAGAGAACAAGTACTGTGAGAGAGAGCCTCCCCTTATTCAAGGAGGAGGTGATAAACAGTTTTTAAAGCTGTGCAGGACAGACTTGGGTCAGCACCGCTCAAACACTCACCAATTAAATTCCTCACTTTTGGTTAAAATCCTTCTATGTCATAAAGGTGCACAATTTTTAAGATTTTGAACACAGTTAAGCTATTTTACGGCTGTTATGGAGCCAACACTTCATATTCAACATTTCAAACACAGTTTACCCTTCCCTTTTGCTTTGAGTGGATTTAACATAACAAAAATAACATTCACAAGAATTATCATGCAGTAATGCAAAGTAGCAGTGAGCTCAAATATCACCAACTCATTACTACACTGCAGCATGTAAAGCAGGAACTTGTGTGGAACTTGTGAACCTTCACAAGCGACAAGTGACGTCAGTGCTGCTGCTCAGTCCCACAGGAGAGCAGGTTAAACAACAGACACCCAAGCCTGGTGTTTCATAAATACAGTCATCCAGCCACTGCTAGAGTGCTTTTTAAAGATCAGTAAGTTAAATACTAAAGGCACTCCAGAGACAGAATGGTCACTTGAAATGAAAGCTTAGGTGCCCCCACCCCCAATCTGCTTTTTAAACTGAAATGCAAAAGCCTCAGGAAAGCAGCAGTAATACTTTATCTCCTCAGATACCATACTGCAAGGCAAGCTCTAGTACCCCCTCTTAAAGCACAAAACCACTGCAGATAATATGGACTGCAAATTTGCTCAACAGTCTTCACATTAGGAAAAATAAGTATAGAACTACAGATAGACAAAAAAAAAATTAAGAGAAACAGCTAAGTTTAGCACACACACACAAAATAAAGCTATTTTTACCTGTTTTCCACAAAAAGGTTTTCCTGGGAGCAAACTGACTGAAAAATAAAAAAGGCATTGTATCAGACGTTCTAGATATGCTCTGCTGTTCCAATTTCTTCCTTGATTTTAGAATTACCTCCCCTGCTCAGGCTTAAGGGGATTTCAATTCATGCATCATTTGCATTTGCAGAAGACAAGAGGGGCTAAAAAGGTCAAGAATAAGGTCAGGCCAGTAAAATAAATTCCATGCATTACAACACATTGCCAATGAGGTGTCTCAGTTTGGGAACAAACTGAAACTTCTCAGCCGAGAGATCTGAAGAAGGCACTATGTGCAAAATACTGGCAATTTGAAGGGAAAAAATGTTTTTCCTGCATAATATAAGGTTCCACTGGTCTGGCCTAGCACCTCAAAATAAAACTGCAGGATAGCAAAGAGCTGTAGGTAGGAAGGACAAACAGAAGGAAAGCATGCAGAATTTACAAAGTTCCTCAAAGGGAGAGAAGGTACTGCAGTACTTAGAAATAGTGTGTGATTTCACATTTTACAGTTGGAGAGGGAACATTGAGATATAAAATGATAATAACCTTCTTAATGATAATATTAACAACAATCATAGCAAGATGGCTCTCTGCTGGAGGACTTAGATCCCAAAAAAGGTGAAGGACTCAGAAGAAATAAATCCTATGGGCAAGTGTATATGTCTTTCAGAATTACTTAATTTTTTTATGCAGAGAAATGAAGCTGTGCTCAATTTCCCATTAATAATTCTCCCTTCTTTGATTTTTTTATTTCCCTTCTATTTCATGTTTGGTAGACAAAAAGCCTCACAGTTATCACTGGATTATATCTCGATGAGGTACAGAGGAAAGAATAGTCAGCACTTACACTGAATTTAAACAAAAGGCAGGTAAAGGAAGGAGGACACCAGAGATCATAGTCATTAGTTCTGTAACAACAGGACTCAGCCCAAAGAATAATAAAATGCCATCGTTAACTGTGTCAAATTTTAACAGTATGGAATAGGCACAGATTTTGGATATTTCTGTTTTGTAAAGGGTGAGCTAGTGACCCACTCAAGAGTGTTGGTCAATGCAAGAAGCAACACCCTGATCATTCTTAATGCTCCAGTTGATGCCAGGATAAAGTTTTCCCTTGACACCACAGCTAGTGCTGCCCCATCAATCTACAAAAGGAAGAAATTTATCCCTGAGATGGCACTACAATTTCTCACTAGAGTGTAATTCACCCACTCAGAATCCACATTAGGGAACATCTGACAGTTCTGTGGGTTTCCCAAGTGTGCTCCCACCCTGCACTCCTGCTAAATTTGCAAGGCACTGGGCTGCATCAGGGGCAGTATGTTTCTCCTTAGCATGAAGCCTCAGGACATCAGAAGCAAGTTCTCCACTGGCAGGAACCAAACTCCCACCATCTACAGCAGACCTAGGGTTTCACCTCAGGCTAAGAGAAGATAGAAACTGCTTCACCTAAAACCAGTGGGATCCTTTGTACAACTACAACACTGTGTCTTCTCTCTTTTTATGTACTTTACTCAGGTAGCAGGTTTCATTAACAAATGTTCAGAATTCAGCATGGTCTAACTGTGCTGAAGCAAAAAGCCCCAGAAAAGCATACTGAAATCACCCCATGGGCTTTTACAACCTCAGCTGTGGGGTCATCATCTCAAGCTTCATGATGGACATCTGTACATTGACTTCTGTGCAGTCACGTTCCAAAGGACAGGATTACAGTTATTCTTACAGAAAAATCTTTGCTTAGACCAGAGTACTGGACTGTGTACCCACAAAGTTACAAAAGCAATGGGGCCTGGGATGCACTTGTCTGTATTTATTTTATTTTATTAAAGTTTTTTAAGAGACTGGGGCATAAAGCAGAATAAATATCTGGGATTTATATTTTATCAAGCAAGCAGAAGGTCTGCTTCCTTCTCAGTGTCTTGGTGGGAACCACTATCAAGTGTATTACAGACTTTAAACAGAGTCCATAATAATTCAATTTGTCTTCTTGGTTGATGATGTTGGCCCAGTGCCACACTGTGCCAACACATTTTCTGGAATTTTTTCTTCAGTAGAGGTGTGAGGCTGAGAGGCACAGAAGACAGGCACTTTTTTATTATTTTATTCTTACTGTTAAAAATCAAGTGGCTAAGCAGCTCTGGATAGAAATTAAGCTACTACAAGTTCAGGACTCACCTTCCTGATGTACAGCATCAACAGTGCTCAATTTAAAGCACTAGGAAAGCTTAAATACCCAGCAGAGAGGTTGTCAAAAAATCCTTAAAACACTTGACTCTTGTTTACCCTTTAAACAGAGTGGCAACAAACCTACTAGATAAAAAAAAATTATATAATATTACCTACAAGTTAGTGTTCTTGGAGATCTCTGTGTGCAACATTTCCAGTAGGATGCTCTGTATGACTAATTGTTATTTATGAAATGAGTATTTCACTTTTCCAATTTCCAAGAACCTTTTAAAGCCTCACCTGGAAAATGTGCATCAGTTCTGCCAGTGCACTAGATATACTGGGAGTTGCTATTCTTGGTTTTAATTACATTAGCAAACACAGATAACTATTAACATGCAGCAATATCCTGCAATGGATACCATCAGGTAATAATTTTCATGTCAGTTAACAAGACATGATAGATCTCGGGCTTCCAACTAATGCTTGTTATTTGATCTGCAGCCACAAAGAAAGTCTCTGTACACCGGTACAGGAGTTTTAGTACCTATAGGTTTATGGTGACCAGCAAGAGGTGTGTCTTTGATTTGTTTTTTACTAATTTTAAGCCCTCTTCTTCTTAATCTTTCTACACTAGCGGGATAGAACAGGCTGAAGCCACATCTACAGGTATTTCTTTTGTTCCTCTCTTTAATCAGAGACTGATAAAGATTCTCTGAGTTTTCTTATCTAGAGGAATCATAACCAACTGTACCTAAAGGATCTTGTTCTTTCGAATACACTCCTTGGTGAAAAATAGCCACTACAGTTGACAACAGAAAATAAAGAGCATGGTGTATTTCCTTTAATAAGTTCCATGTGTACCATGGGCAATTCCAGCATTTGTGTAAGTAAGAAAATATCTACATTTTTCAGTGAAGACAGAATGATTCCCAGAGAATGCATTTGTGAACAATGTATGGTCCTAGCATGACTCTGGCTCATAAGGTTATACATTGCACTAACCTTGAAGAATGAAATTTCCCCCATGTAATTTGATTGCTAGTCTTTACAATCAATTTTCTGCAGGCTTCAAAGCCAAACATCATGTATTATTTATGCATGAATTTGGGATTCTCTACATACAGGGAAATAACATTTTTTTAATCCTGTATGTTCTTTGTCCTTCTTGGGCAACAACTACCTCAAGTTCCCAAACGCAACTAAAGCAGTTCAGACAAGGAACTTCTCTGCAAGACCCAGACAGTGCAGGTCCTCTGCTCCAGTGTACCTGGCTGGAAAATTCACAAACTGTTTTAAAACTAAGTTTCCAGTAAAATAAGTTTTGCAATTAAAAAAACACTTGAAAATAGTTTTGAGCATAATAGAGCTCAGCCTGCACTTTTTTCCTTTTTTTAGCAGCCTGAAAAATTTGAGGTCCACTTTGCAGTTCTAATTTCAGTGAGTTGGAATGATCATGTTTATTAGCTATTTATTTCTTCACCAATACTTTTATTAAAATATCAAACTAACATGCTTCTCAATCTTGCTGAGACAGAAGTCATTAAAACTTCCAGCTCTCCTCGTTGAAATTTGTGATAGCCAACACAGCAGATGGAAAACTTGCCAGAAAGTATAATTTAAACTGACTAATACTAGAGTAATCATCATAAGGACTATCACAGTGATGGCATTACTCATGAACATACTTATTTTGTTAAAACCTTCCCACTGGAAAATGAAGAGATCTGGTGCAGTAGAATTCTGCAAGACCAAAGGAAGGACAGGCAAGTTTTATATTGGTATGTGAGGTCCAGGTTAAGACATTTTTCACAGCACTTGAAACATGCATGGAATTTTTTGCCCCTGTAACCAGCCTGCCTTTTCCTTATAAGTTTTGTTTAAAGTTCTCCTTCTTGGGCTGTTATCTAAAGAGTTTTGGGTGTCTCAAACATCTTTTGGGGTGGATGGGGTGGTGCTGCTGGATGCAACAAGTTATAGCAGTACTCTTGACCTTCATGGCTGCACTTTGAAGACTTCCCATGCAAGCTCTCTTCATGCATACTGTAATTAGAAATGATCTATCTGTGATCCATTTGCTAAGATTCACAAGCAAGACATTGATAAAGCCTTGACTACAGCAGTGTAAACAGTATAGCGGTAATAAAAATACCACATGATTAATCCATATTTGAATGTCTGTATCTGTAATTTGCAGAGTAACAAGGCTTAGGTACCTACCTCACACAAACCTGGGGAGAATTGGATTAATTAATGACTGCAGAGGGCCTTAAAACTTCACAGTCTTACATGCAGTAAGTGACTATCTATAACAGGAAGCCATTTCTCTCTTTCCTAAAATTGAAAAAATACATTGTCCACCACCACAACCACTGACATCATCCTAAAAACACCTTGTATCTGGCAAGGGGCGCTCCACCCAAAAAAGCTCAAATAAAACATAGTTTGCCTTTGACATTAAACATACATCTTGCTGAAATTCATTGCACTATGATGCTCACTAACACCTGCAATAGCAGAGAGAGAAGAGCAAAGGAGTGGATATGAGAGAGAGAGGGAGAGATATCTAACATTGCTGATCTTTAAAAATGCTCCCTCCCAATTCCATTTAAAATGACTGCCAAAAAGCACACTTTTACTTAGGTCCTGCCACTTGAAAATGCCAACCCAATGAAACACAACAGCCTCCTGCTGTGGGCAATTCAAATGCTCTCCACCTGCCTGTTTTTAGAACTGAAATATCTAAAGGTAACAGCAGTAATACACTATGGAGCCACTTTCAGCACACTTTTTCAGCCACCTCTCTTTCCCAGCCTGGCATTTCTAGCTGCAGCTTGTGACAGAAACTGCACTATTTTGGAAATAACTTTCCATTTGGTAATTTTTAGCATTTTGCCTCATCTGAATTCTTCATCAAAACCCAAAGATTTTTTGGTTTTGCACAAGCTCTTTTGTAATGTGTCAAAACCTCTTATAATTCATATAAGAAACTTGTAAAGCGCCTTTGCAGCTCTTGAACAACTTGGCAATTCCACTGTGTACAGTCTGGAACAGTATTTACATCAGGCCAACATTCTAAGAGCAAAACAGAAACTGAAGGGTCTCTGCTTTTACTGGAATCATCTCAGCCAGGAAAAAGTGAAGCTAAAAACATTTAGATGTACCTAGCTATTTACTAAGAAGCGAGTGAGACAACATACACCTTAAAACTATACAGTGTATTCTGCCAAAAAAAAACCCCAACTTGGACATGTACGATTCCTAATAGTACTATTAGCCCTGCAACATATGAACAGTTTTAATTTAAAAGGACACTGCCCAATATGATTTTCAAAAATAGTTTTAATTAGATTTATTCCCATATTCCTCCTAAATGGCAGAACTCCCACTGAGATATGAAATGAAACATTAAAATGCTGACTTTTTTCCTTTTTTTCTCCCTTTTATTAACTCATCATTACAGTATTATAGCAAATTGTGATTTTCTTCTTTTTTTTTTTTCAGGAACATCAGGTATTGCTCACAGATGTTTCAGATTTAAGTTTTTTTTTTTCTGATTTTTTGGTAAAGGCAAGAATTTTAATGTCTGCTTCATTTTATTCCTTTCAGAATATTATCATCAACAGCATGACTGACTCTTTCTGATGGTAGAAATACAGTTCTTTAATCAGTCATTTCAAGAAAATGATGCAACTCCAACTTTAACCTCTGCCCTTTTTTTGTACTCAGTGTCTTGATGCTATAGCACTGGCCCAAAAACCCATAAGGAGTGTCTGCAGAAGGACACTTATAAAGATTTGATCCACCTTCAAAGAAATGCAAAATAACACATCTATCTGATATTATTGAGAGTGTCCACTTAAATCACTGCTCTTTGGCTAGCAGAAGAAAAAAGGAAATCAACCTAGGCCATGTGAATATGAACATTCAAAGAAACAGGATACACACTCCCCAGACAACACGCTGGGCCTGATCTCTCCTCTATCCTTCTCTCTGCAGCTCTCATCACCTCACTCTCCAGAAGCCAACCTCCATACCTCTAAAGCTCCTCTGAGACCCTCTGAGCCAATCTGCCTTCCCTGTCACCTCCAGCTCCACAGGGCAAGTCCAGCTGCAGTGTTGTTGTAGGAGGGGGGCAAAACTGTCTGACTACCGGCGAAGGTATGGCACTAAAGAGGCAATTAAAATAACTACTCACATCTTGTGCAAATATTCTCTCCCTCACTCTCTGATACTCCTCTTCTCTCTCTTCAATTGATTTACTTCGTCTGTCATCTCTAAATGGAAGAATTCTGTTTTGCTGAGCAGAAAGAAAACCAGGAGGATTATATAAGTTGAGCTGTTAAAAACTGCCATTAAGTAACTGTCAGCTGAGAATAATAAATGTTCACTTAAACAAATGAAGCACAAAAATTATAGCTGTCATTCCTGCACAAAGAACCCTGTGACACTGGACGCTCGAGGACCTCCAGCTAGATATTGTACATGGGCTCATCGAGCAGGTGGCCAAAACGAGGCTTACTGCACAGCTTTTGTGGACCCACCATCCTATAACTGGGTGCTCTCACCCCAGGTCTAGTGCCATTGTGCTCAACTGCTAATACTGCGTGATTCTCCTACCAGCTGTGAGGAGCAGGAGGGCAGGCAGTGGTGGGCTACCTAAGAAATCAAGAAAGAGGGTTACAAGGCTGCTGGAGCTAAACTGTAAACCCTGGAAGAAACCCATGAAGTCCATGTGTGCAAGGAGAAGTCCTAGATATTGGGCACAACAGTTTTAACCATTTTCACACTGTATGGAACCCTCTACTGAAGTTTGGCTGGAAAAGGAAGGGCCATTTTTGCCTCTTGGTAAACCACAGTGTAGGAAATGGCTGTGCCATGGGAAGGAGGAGAGGAGATAAGCCCCATCAGGAAATGCTTCATTGAAATGGGTTTCAAGGACTGGTCCTTCTCCCCCTGGACCCCAGCACTGGGTGGGATAGGTTATGCTGCCTTCCTTTGATTGATCCCCACAGTCACCACACCCTGAAATTGCTCAGGGTTTGTTTTCAAAGCCAGCTTGTATGCAGCACAACTGGCAAGGCTGCCATGTACAACTGAAAGTCAAGGAAAAAAGGGTGAAAAAAGGAAAGAAATAATCAGTCCTTTACTGAAAACATGAAGGGAAGTGGCAACAAGAGACTCATTGGTTGGTTCCTCCACAAACATAGCCCTAGCAAAGAAAGCATATGCTGTCCTCTTACCTGTGAGAATTTTCTCATAAAAGCAAATCACATCAGAACCATTTCAGATTTTTTTTTTGTTAATCTATTCCACATACACAGCTTGCACTAGATTGAAACAGCACAACACCCGCTTTTAAAGGCAGCACAAACAGACACATTTCCCTGGCACTCCCCTACTCATCAAGCTCACCTAAGTTAAGGTAGTGTTATGGCACAGGCAACACAAGGGGGAACGTCTGCCACAGTACATGCACAAGCAAGTAAATTACACAGACAGTAAAAGGTGGTGAGGGCACAGGAGAAGGATGGGAAGTCCTTGGTCAAAACATAATTTAGGATGGTTAAAAAAAAAAATCAACCTGGCCTCACCATCACATCTTTGGGGCATTTTTTTTTTTTACACTTTTTTTTTCACTCTCTCCTTTTTGAGCTACCTCAGTTCACCACTGGTCCATACCGAAATCCAACTTTGAATGGGTACAATAGAAGAAGGAAGCTACAGGGAGCGTAACAACTGCCATAGTTAGGCAAGACATTGAGGAATGCGACTGACACAGCCTTCCACGCAGCCCGGAGCCACTGGCATTCCCCCTCCCGTGGGCATGCAGCAAGTCCTGCGCCAAGCAAACCACCCATGCAAACCCACACACTGCCACGGCTGAAGCGGCCACGCTGGGGCTCGGAGCCACCCACGGAGGTACGTGTGCCAAAGGAGGCGGGGAGGGGCAGGAGGGCAGGGGAGGAGGAGAGCAACAACAAAAGAACAACAATAACATCAGTCAGCCCACCTTCAAAAACAGAACAAATTTCAGCAACTCTCGAACCGAGAACCAACCTGATTGTCTTCTTTATCAATACTAGAGTTATCTCGCTTCAAGATAAATCGCTTCTGGGATTCTTCACCTTTTTCATCTTTTAAATGTTCAGAAAACCTTTGCTCTGGTCTGCCAGCAAAGTAAAACATAGCAATAAAAAAATCTTTCTTTTGGTTTTGCTTTGATCTTTATTTCTCAGTGCTCTTTGTTTTCACAGAGGCATTCAGTGCAAAAGCAGTTAACATTTGTGAGACGCTGCCTATAGCTGTCTGAGGCTGCTGTATCGCTGCAAACTGTTATTGCTATAAATAGCTTTTGTTGTTGTTGTGTAGCAAGGAATGGGAATCCAAAGTCTCAGTCACTGAAATATTTAGACTCTCCTCACTGTGACTGAGGGACAGGGAAAACAAATTACCATACTGTATGTTAATTTGCTTTCTTCAGTAGCTGGGATCTCTGGCAACACTGCCTCTTAGTGAATCTATCCATCTTGAAAAGCAAGGAAAAAACTGGTAGGAATCTTAAAAAACACAAAACCAAAACCAGACACCCAAGAGTTTCCGCATTCCTGGTAAGCAGAACTGGTAAAGGAAGGGACTGATGATGTTTTGCTTAAACAAAATTTTATCTCATCACCACTAAGTGGGAAAAATACTCCAGAACAATCATAGAGCATCAATTAGTTCACTGATTTAAACTCGTACATTTATTTATATATTTCTTTTAAAAGTCAAACCCCAGTGTTTTGGCTCAACATTTTCAGGTTTACAAGATGTTATGATGCCATTTCATAATCTCACCTTGTGCAAAAAGCAGTACCACATACCACTTCACCTTGTGCAAAAAGAGACCTTTAAAAAGCAACTTTTATGGCCAAGCTGGTCACAGACAATGCCTCGTAGCTGTCAATAAATAACACTCCAGCATGTACTATTCCCAGAGTGGTAATGTTTTAAGCCTGAAGTATTTAAACCTGCAGAGTGTTAAGCCCAACACCATCAATGGGGTGACCAATGGCCTCAAGAACTTAGCTCCCATTCATATGGTGCTATCACCCAGCTGAGGGGCTATTACTGCAAAAACTGTATTTTAAAAGCAGAAATACACCATGAGATTTGTCAGGGAAAACAAGTCTTGTGCTTAGTGCTGAAAGAGCTGCCAACTGCAGCGGTGGTAGGAGATACCTACACAAACACAACACAAAGCTTCCACTGACATCAACGCAAGCGACGGTGGAGAAATTAAAAGGCAGAATGTAAACAAGTAAGTGCTTTTGCAAGTAGGAGTCCTCTACAAACTTAAAGAAAAACCTCTCATCTTCATCTTATTTACACCAGAAAATTAAACCAGATGCATAAATCAGCAACCATTTTGTTGTTACAGCGTTATGGATTTCAAATCAAAATACAGCACACATTCACACCATAATTGCAGACCATAACAATTCATTGTCAGATATACAGGAAACATTTGTAATAAACTGTAAGAAAGTCAATAGTAAGGCACACCAGCTATCTTGCCTCTCCTTCTTCATGAATTTTGAGCACTTCCACTTCATAATTTTGCATTTTTGTGACAAAGCAACAAAATGCACTATCCCAATTTCCACAGATTTTGACAATTCAAGAAACCTCTGACCACCATCCATAGCTACAGGGCCCAAGTCACTAGATTCTCTGGATGACCTACTAGCCTTCTTTAGGAAAAGCCCAGAGGACCATGACTCTCTGCATAGTAGTTTCATAATCTAATGACTCATTCATTATGTTTCCTCATAAACAGAAAGACTACAAAGCCCCATTAGTAGATTGCTAGGTGGGTTGTTCTCTCTTTGCTTCCATTAATGCACATTATGCCCATGCAGCCAGAAATGAAGATTCCTTCACTCAAATATTGTGCTTTCACAGGACTGAGAATTGTTATTTTTCTGGTTTTACATCCTAAAGCACAAACAAAATTTCTGCAGTTGTACCAGCAGTGTAAAATTTAGAGCTGTAAACTATCAACTGAACATCTAATAAACCATATGAAAAGAATAATAAATTAATTAGATTTTAAAATTCAGGGGGAAAGTCATTAGAGAGAAAAAAATTCAGAGATAAAAAGATTAAAAAATTTTGAAGAAATGTCTCCTCCAATTACTTATTTGAACAATAACAAGATTTTCATACTTCATAGCATTATTTTAAATTTTAAATCACATTTTCACTTCATTTACTATTTATAAAATGTTTCTGTTTTTTATAAGAGAAAAATATAAGATCAAACCACAAGTCAAAATTAATGATTCAGTATGCGCCTGTTAATAAAATTAATCTACATGCCCACTAGGTGATCAATCTCCAGTTGTGAAAAGATATTTGCATGGGCAGAGAGACTCTGCAAATGGGCAGAGTACTCTGGAGCACCAGGGTACCTTCAGCACCATGAGAAGATCCACCCCTTTCAGCCAACTCTGCAGCTCTGGGCCACTGTTACCAGCAAGGTCGCAAAGCATGACCAGCTCAGTTGGCAGGGACGCAATGCCTGAGGGAAGACTGTCATGTGGGATTGAGGATATCCCACCAGCAAGTGTCTTCAGGCACACCAACCTGCAGGCCTCCCTCAAACACTGAAAATCATCACCAGAAAGAAACGTAGACTCTTCTAAAGAAGATATTCACACATGTGGTTGTGTTTTTCTCTTTAATACCGTCTACTGCATTTTCTTTTTTAACATCTATTGCACAAATAAATTATAAGTAGGATACAGATGGCAAACAGTGTTTAAAACCAGCAAGTGAAACCACATGTTATGAATCACTTGGGTAGAGAAAAGGGTGACTTTGAAAAGATTTTGGTCTGTTCCACGGATAGAAGCCAATGTAAACTCCACATTCCCAGCTCTTAAGTTCCCTGGAACAGCATAACGGATTTGTTGTAAGGAACCAGAGACATTGTGGTTATTCCAGGGAAATCTGTTACATTAGTTTATGAATTTTCAGGTGAATCAACTGCTTAAAAACAAGGAAAATAATGCACATTTTTGTGTAAGATGTAATGTAGTGTCAATATACTAACAGTATATAATTACAATAATGCAGCAGATGAAGCGAATTAATCTCATGTAAGTCCTAAATTAATAACAACCATGCTTATTCATCTGAACTTTTTTGGCTGATACTGCCACCAGTAGTCAGCACAATATAACAGGTGTGTTTATATATTTAAGGGAGTGAATTTATCAAGATAATTTTTAGTATGGCATACATTAAGTTCTTACTGATGTCAAAGCAAGGTTTAAAATTATTATTATTACTACAAACCCATTAAAAAATCAGAAACTTCTTCACTATTACCATACTGGATACCTAAATTTTGTTTTCAAATCCTAAAAAAAAAATTAAAAAATTGTGTAATTTTAAAAATGGGACTTGCACAGCCTTTTTGAAGAGACAGAGAGAACTTTGGAAGGCATCATCACTAACTCAAGTACTCATCACTGTTTAAGGATCTTCCAAAAAAAATTAGAAATCATATACAAGACAACCTACAATACCTGTACTATACAGGTGGGCAGACCATGGGTGACAGTACACCCATCTAGTTGGTAAGAACCATGTGCAAGACAAAAGATATGCAAATATTTGCCTACAAGCAATGCTATCTACCTCTAAGACAGGATTTCATTTAGTCCATTCAGTATTTAATTTACCCCCTATGGAATTAATGTATCACTTGAGAATCTCAAAGCCTACTACTGCAGAAAAAGAAGTTTAGGAGGAAGTACCTTTTACATCAATGGGATTTTTGTAATTTGAGGACTCTACTGAGAAAACCAAAAAGTATGACCCAGTTATACCTTAAAGGCTCAGAAACCAACATAAAGGGAGGGGGAAAGCACACAGGTTAAAAAGACGTAAAATCTGGTGTGGTTTTATTTTGTTTTGGTTTTCTCTAATATAACCTTTTGATCATTCAAATTTTTATTACTTGATGATATGGGTGGAAGCAAAACATCTGCACCCTGAAAATGCAACTTCACAAGACCACAATTACGTACGAATTAATTTCATATTTCCTAACGAATTAATTTCATATTTCCTAACAGTTGTCAGGTAGCTTAGTCACCTTTCTGGCAATGTAGTTCTGAACAAAATGCAGAACTATTTCTTCCTTCCCTGTAAAGCTTTTGATCAGGCACTACAGATGTTTAACAGAGATTGGACCTGAGAGTAACTTGGTGCATGCTTAGGCAGCTGTGCAGTCCCCTCCTCATTCCCAGATCTCCCAGAAAGCACAGGCCCTTTGAGCAGGCTAGACAGCCTTTCCTCTCCATCCTGCCCAGAAAGGTAACACCATGATATTAAGGTGGGTGCCACCAGCATATCTCCAGGTAGCCAGCTTCAGTAGGTGTCCTGCAGCACACAAACATTTCACTATTAAAAGCTTCCCAAAACTCTCTGAGCATCTGCAAAGTCTGCTTTCATCACTTTATCCTAATCTTGGGGGTTTTTTTCCCTACAAAAAGAGATCACTTTTTGTCAAGTGATCAGTTTAATCAAAGGCCAGACACAGTAAGAGACACCATTAACCCTACTACCCAGTGTTTTTCCCTGGCTCAGGAGCACTTCTACATACTTGTATGCAATATCAAGTCCAGACCTGGGGGGAGTACCCAGGTAAAATCTCACAGCAATACTGTGTCCCCCTTTCTTGTGGTTGAGCACCTTCTGAGTCAGCCAGTGATCATGTCAAATCTTTCAGCCTCATTTTTGTGTTGGTTGAATACTGTAAAGGTCAATTCAATATATGGTTGAGGTTCCTTATTTCTATGCTTGGAATTATTTCATTGTGAGGGAGACCAATCACTGTCACAGGCTGCCCAGATAGGTGATGGAGTCTCCACCCTAGGGATGGTCCTGGACATGGTCTTGGGCAACTTGAGTACAGGCGGTGCTGCTTGACCAGGAATTGGACAAGATGACTTCCAGAATCTTTCCATCCTTAACCATGCTGCCATTTTGTGAAACACTGAATCAGTTATATAGTAAAAAATCCATAGCAGAACAAACCTCCATCAGTACCTTTTAGATGGTTTTTGTGTCTGTTCTTTCTTTGTAAGTTGGCCATTTTCCTTTCTGATGTTA